AGCTTCTCTAGCCATTCGTTTGTTGATGGGCACTTAGGTTGTTTCCAACTCCTTGCTATTGTGAACAAAGCTGCAATAAACATGGGTGTGCAAGTAGGTTTTATTTTTTAATTGCTTTATTACATGCTAGATACTGGAGATCGCAGTGGTAGGCAGCACAGATGTTATTGTTTATAGCATTGTTGAAAATCAAACAATAGTGAAGTTTATTTTGGACTGTGGCGATAGTAATAGAAAGGAGAAATGGAAGGGATTCATGATAAATTTGTAAACAAAAGACTTATTAGTGGACTAGATGTAAAGGACGGGAAGGGAAGAAGTAAGATGAAGAAGATGGAGAGATATGTCAGAGTGGGTTAAAAATTCATTAATTTTTACATTTTTTAAATGAGCTAGGAAGCATTAAAAGAAGATGGAAGAAATACACAGTGTCACTGTACCAAAAACAATTAGCTGATACAGAACCATTTCAGGAAGTAGAATAAGATCAAGAAACTGGTAACGAAGGAGGAAGTTCAGGCTGCTCTAGAAAGAATAGGCAAAAAATAAGGCCCAAAGAATTGATTATAAATCAACTGACATATGTTAACAAACAAGTTCAGCCCTATATGTGCTTACCAAGTTGTGCCAAGAAATCCAAAGGATCATTACTAGCCAACCACCGGAAAAGATCAACACTTATTCCCATTTCCAAAAGAGGTGATCCAACAGAATATGGAAATTATTGATCAAAATGAGTAATATCACATGCATGCAAAATTTTGCTGAAGATTATCTAAAAATAACTAGAACAGTAAATCATCTGGGAACTGCTAGAAATACAAACTGGATTTAGGAGAGGCTGTAGCACTAGGGACATCATTGCCAATGTCAGATGGATCTTAGCTAAAAGCAGAGAGTAAGAGAAGAATGTATATTTGTGTTCACAATAAACTGTGGCTAACATTGAGAAAAATGAGGATCCAGAACACTTGATTGTGTGTTACAAAACCTATATGTAGACCAAGAAGCTGTCATCTGAACAGAGCAAGGAGAACACTGTATGGTTCAAAATTTTAAAAAAGGAGTGTATCAGGGATACCGTTTCATTCTATATACTGAACAGATCATTTGAGAGGCTGGACTTCATCAGAATTTGGAAGAATATTCATCAACAACCTGCACTATGCAGATGACACAACCTTGTTCACTATAACAGAGGAAGACTTGAAGCACTTGCTACAGAAGATCAAGGACTGCAGCCTTTAATATAGATTGTATCTCAACATAGAGAAAATAAAAATCCTCACCACTGAGTCAGTTGGCAGCATCCTGATAAATGGAGAAAGGATTGAAGTCGTTAATAATTTCATGCTGCTTGAATACACAATCAACATCCTTGGCACCAGCAGTTAGGAAATCAAAAGATGAGTTGCATTTGTAAAATCTGTCAGGGACCTTGACAGAATGCAACAGTGTCAGTGTAGAGACTATGGTGCACCTGATCCAGGCCATAGTCTCCTCAATTGTTTTCTATGCATCTGGGAGCTGGAAAATAACTAAAAATGACAGAAGA